TTTTTCTGTTCATTGTCTTCTACGCTCCCTTGCTATCCTCTTCTTATTCCTATTACTATCTCCTTCGGTGGTTATAATAGGAGCTGCCTCGTATGGGCCAATAGGCCTGCTGCAGTTCTCATTACTACTATCCCCTACACCTGACTTTCCTCCTCAGCTCTCTCGCCTATTTAATGCCTGTCCCTACCTGTCCTCATCACAATCGACTTGAGAATGGTCCAGGACGGACCGAAACGTCGTCGTCCCTTCAATTTCTAGTGTGTGTTCTGGTCAATATATATATATATATATATATATATATATATATATATATATATATATATATATATATATATATATATATACATATACATATATATAAACATATAGGTTATTTAGGTTTTGACCGTAATCCTTCTCTGCGTCACGGGGGAAAGGGTTGGCATCACTTGACAAAGCCGAGGCATTAAACAGTGCCTCGGGCCACAGTTCCGGCTTGTTGACACTGTGATGTAACATCCCCCCTGGAAGGTCACGCCATCTACACGCTCCCACTAGAAACTTGTTGGGTTTTTACAAGCTCACTCTGACCTGGCCATCAGAGAGCCATGCTTCCCCACCTCCCCTTCTTATCCTCCACCGCATTTAAGCCCTTCTTTAAGTCCTTTAAGAAGCTCTTTAAGGAGCTCTTTAAGGAGGCCTGGGCGATGCGTTGGAAACTCAAACCGTAACTGTCTCTATTTTCCGCTTGTTACAACTTGAAATAAAGTTGTTCCATCTTGGTTTAACGTGTTTATGACGTATTAGAACGTTGTTACAACTTGCTATATTGGTTGTTATAACTGGTTAAGAGGTGTTAAAACTTGTTCGAACGTTGTACCAATGTCGTAGTTTCGGTGTGCGTTTGGCGGGTTAATTCCCTCATTATCCCCATTCGTTTCGTGCTATTCACATCTCTCTTCAACATCTCCGCCCATGATATCAACGAAGTTCAATTTCTTAATGGGAGTCGATGGCTGGTCGGCAGTGTGAAACTGTTTTTTTTTTAAGTTGCCGTTTTCATGGTAAGATCTGCCGCGTTCCTTATTTTTTATGTTCTCCAATTTTTATTTATTTATATATATTTTTTCAGTGTTTGTGTGTCCGTTCTCTCTCTCCCCTCTCTCTTTCTCTCTCTCACACTCTCTCTCTCTCTCTCTCTCTCTCTCTCTCTCTCTCTCTCTCTCTCTCTCTCTCTCTCTCTCTCTCTCTCTCTCTCTCTCTCTCTCTCATCTGCCCACGTATTGATCTCTATCTCTGTCTGTCTCATAACCATCCCTTCACCAACCTTTCTAATTGCTCTCCTCTTATTTTCTCTGGTCATTACCCAGTCCGGTCTCCATGAACTTTTCAAGAATACTTTCACTTTTATGCAATGGAAACTTTTGCCATCAGGTGCTCTACCCAGATGTGAAGGAAGAGACAGAGTCGTTGCTGGCATCCTCCTTTCAGATCCGCGAAGTGACGTAATACATTCACTTATAAATTACTTCCGCCGCCATCTTCAAAATCCGGATTCCTACAACTGCGTTCGTACAACTTTTCCTTCTACGGCCCCTCACCCCCTAACTGGATTTGTTTACATGGGCGTTCTTTCATGTCTGGAGGCAACAGAAATAGTTGCAAGTTTCACCCTATGCCCCTGTTACCTAGCAGTAAAATAGGTACCTGGGTGTTAGTCAGCTGTCACGGGCTGCTTCCTGGGGGTGGAGGCCTGGTCGAGGACCGGGCCGCGGGGACACTAAAGCCCCGAAATCATCTCGAGATAACCTCGAGAAGTATAGTGCTCAAATGATTCAAGGACTCGCTGGAGGTATGTACTGAGTAGTTAACCCTTAAAGTACAACTATATGCTTCGTCTGCACTAACTACCATTCTGTAATGTGTTTTGGTTACATATGTGTGTATCTGTATGTTTATATATGTGTATGGATGTAAACATGCGTGTGTCTGCATGTATTTGAGTGCATTTATATATGTGTACTTGTATTTGAGTGCATTTATATATGTGTATCTGTTTTTGAGTGCATTTATATGTGTATCTGTATTTGAATGCAATATAAACATGCGTATACTTTCTTAGATACACACATATGTAAGTACACATATACACATAATGTATCAGTGTAATTATATGTATACTTGCACATGTATTGTACATGTGCCGTATAAAAGTAATACCTTTCCTTTACCTGCACAGCTGACTTAAGTGTCTGCTCACAATCCTGGGATCCCGGAGTCAATTGCCTGGCAATACAGAAATGATTGGGCTCGTTTCCCTTCACCTAATGCCTCTGTTCACCGAGAATTAAATAGGTACCCCGTGATTTAGGCAACTGTTGTGGAATTGCATCCTGGGGTCGTTCAGCAGTTCGACCTTGAAGGGACCTCGATACAAGCCTAAAGTATGCTAGCCATCACCCAACTTTGCAGGGTGAATGGTCTAGGGTACGGAACGGATATAAGCCAGTCGGGGTCGGCATGAGTGCCACACTTTAAGAAATATTGGTCTCTAATCTGTCCCTCAACCCCGTACGATTTTCATGGTCTAAAATTAAATTGTGGGTGGGTTCTCCGTAGAGTTTCTGGATGCTTAATTCCAGTGTTAACTCGCGCATTTTCCAGATTTACTCGAAAACGATGAACTGAATTCATTTATATATATGTAAATGTCTGTCTGTTCGAAGTTGTACGCAAGACAGAGGAAAAGGGGCGAAGAAGAGGGGTAAAAGATGGAGAGGGGAGGAGGGTAGGGAAATGGGGGACCGTGGAGAAAAGTGAGAAAATGAGGGAGATAGGGAAGAAAGGAGAAGGGGGAGAGAGGAGTAGGGGGAAGGGGGCGGGGAAGTGAGGGAAAAGCAGTGAGTAAAGATGGGGGGGAAGATGAGGCTGGAGAGGGGGGTATGGGGGAAAGGGGAGATGTAGGGAGAAACAAATGGGGGAAAGGGAGGATGGGGAGAGACTGTCTAGTATATAATATTATACAAATTTATTACTTAAATACTGAGAGTCTAAAGATAGAGCGTTGCTTTCTCTCTCTCTCTCTCTCTCTCTCTCTCTCTCTCTCTCTCTCTCTCTCTCTCTCTCTCTCTCTCTCTCTCTCTCTCTCTCTCTCTCTCTCTCTCTCTCTCTCTCTCTCTCTCTCTCTCTGTTGCACAATAGAGTCATGAGTCAGCCAACTCACAGGTTAACGTAGGATGAAAGGGAAAGTTGGCCAAGGTGTGGGCGTGTTTGGTGTGTTATGGGCGTGGGTGGGCGTGAGTGGTATGTTGTGGGCGTGGGTGGTATGCTGTGGGCGTGGGTGGCATGTTGTGGGCGTGGGTGGCATGTTGTGGGTGTGGGTGGCATGTTGTGGGTGTGGGTGGCATGTTGTGGGTGTGGGTGGCATGTTGTGGGCGTGGGTGGTATGTTGTGGGCGTATTTGGTGTGTTATGGGCGTGGGTGGGCGTGGGTGGTATGTTGTGGGCGTGGGTGGCATGTTGTGGGCGTGGGTGGCATGTTGTGGGTGTGGGTGGCATGTTGTGGGTGTGGGTGGCATGTTGTGGGCGTGGGTGGCATATTGTGGGTGTGGGTGGCATGTTGTGGGTGTGGGTGGCATGTTGTGGGCGTGGGTGGCATGTTGTGGGTGTGGGTGGCATGTTGTGGGCGTGGGTGGCATGTTGTGGGTGTGGGTGGCATGTTGTGGGTGTGGGTGTCATGTTGTGGGCGTAGGTGGTATGTTGTGGGTGTTGGTGGCATGTTGTGGGGGTGGGTTTTGTTGTAGAGGGCGTTCGTGAGTTATTATATTGTAGAGTGTTCTTCCCAGAGTGGATAACGGCACAACACGGTGCCATGTCGTGATGTTCAATGGCACTGTTGTGTCTAGCATGACACCCAAGGAGTCCTGGATGACGTTCTGACTAACGGTATCTATTATTTACTACCACAAATCTGCGATGTATTTGATCAAAACAATTCTATTTAATTATGACAATAATAAAAATAATGTTGATTATTATATTTTAATACTTCTATAATTCAAGTTTAAATTCCTCATAATAATAATAATAATAATAATAATAATAATAATAATAATAATAATAATAATAATAATAATAATAATAAAAAATAATAATAATGTTTAACAATATTGAGAAGGTAATACAAATCTTAATCCATATATTTGAATATTTTATATTAATGACGATGAATTGATGAGTTGTAATTGAAGATATGAAAGTGGCTGTATAGCTGTGATAACAGGTTATAATATCATATTTTGTGATAACACGAATTGTGATAACATAAAATAATATCTTGGGATGACGTGTGAGTCTGCAGGCAGCGTTACACCATTTTTTTACAGTACATTAATTCCAGGTTGCAGTGTCGTGTCTCTGCAATTTTTTTCTCATTATGTAATTAATTCTGGCTTTTGTTTAACCTTTCCAGATTTCTTGTTCGTTATCTTTGCGAAATATGTTTTGTGTCATATATTGTTTCAAGTGTTATTATGCTGCGTCATGCTGACTCGGCAGATTTCCCGGGGCATACAGGTTGTCTTACAGCGAATAGCTTTGTTGCTGTTTCCGGGCTGGGAAGTCGTGTCCCTCGCTACACCAGGGGGTTCGACGGAGTACAACCGATGTTGTACCTTCAGATATCGTCATATCGTCTTCAGATATCGCCATACAATGCTTCTGACGGTGTTACGGTATGCTAGCGATCTCGTAAACTGCTCTATGGGGTAATGGTGATGTCGCACACTGCCTTCTGACTATGCTATAGGATTCTGGCGATGTCGCACATTGTTCTTGTAGGTTCAAAAGGGTGCAGCCAGGGGCCAGATTCACGAAAGCACTTACGTAAGTACTTATGAATCTGTACATCTTTTCTCAATCTTTGGCGGCTTTGTTTCCAATTATTAAACAGTTTACAAGCATGGAACTTCCCAATCAACTGTTGTTAATGTTATAAACAGCCTCCTGGTGCTTCGGAGCTCATTAACTGTTTAATAATTGGAAACAAATCCGCCAAAGATTGAGAAAAGATGCACAGATTCGTAAGTACTTGCGTAAGTGCTTTCATGAATCTGGCCCCAGGAGTTCAAAATGCTCCTTAGGACAGTACGGAATGCAGGCGGTCTTTTGCAGCATTATAAGTCCCTCTGTGGACCAGAGAGGCCGTCTTACAACATATATTGTTGTTCTCAACGTTATCAATGAGTTCCTTAAGCTTTCTGATTTCTGTGGCTCTCGTGGATAAAGACCAAAATGATAATGATGGTTGTCCTGTGTTAAAGATAATGTTCTGCGCTCTTTCTTAAGGTAATGGCCCCCCCCTGGGGGGGGTCTCAGTGCCCTCCCTTGAAGGAGGGTTTGTCCTACAGAAGTCTGCTTTTCTCCCATCTCCCTTCATATTTAGCTGCGGTTTGTGCCAGCGACTTGAGTAAGGGTCCAACAGCATCATCAGTCCTGATGAGGAATAAATAATAATAATAATAATAATAATAATAATAATAATAATAATAATAATAATAATAATAATAATAATAGCCAGTCGATTATCGATGGATTTCCAAGGGCGCGGATATATTATGTTTTACCCATCCACTTTTTGGCCAGATCTAACCGTGTTTAACCAGATTAATTAGTAATGCAATGTGTCGCTCTCTCTTTGCTTCGAGGGATAACACAAGTCAATGATGAATATCTATTAAATTTTATAACAATGGTGTCGAAGTCACTTTGTGCACAGAAAACAAAAATAATAATTTAAATGAGTCTTGTCTGGTACTTATTGGCTTACGTTTTCTTTTATTTGGTTTGTTCACGTTTTCTGTCGTAATTTGTTAGGGTTCAAGTTGAACCCCTTCAATATATATACTAGGGTGAGCATGACGTATTAATTTTACTGTCAGGATTTAGCATATGATACCATCATTATGATGGTATCGCATGCTATGTGGTATGGGTGAACTTACAGGCTCGTCAGTCATTAACAGCAGTGTAATTGTGCAGTTTGTTTGGGTGCCTTGAAAGGCTTATTATCTCTCTTTCTACAGCAAAGGGCCATGTAATTTCAGATTACTAAAGGCATTGTGATATCTATTCAGTCATTGTTGTTTAAGGTATAACACAAATACATTAGTTACGTTGATCTATGTCTCTTATCTTGTCACTAACTCACGTAACTAGAGATGTTGTATTTAAAGTTAGTTTAAATAATTCACTATACAACCTATAACTATTCCGTGAGAGGTAGTGAAAAAGGTTACAGAGACACATAATGTTATCAGGAACTGAACTCCAAAGTAAATTTAGCTAAGTAACAGCCTTTGATAATTATCTATTCGCCTGTTTCATCACACCCTTACTTTACCCGGCCACGGACCCCAGGCGTTTAGTAGTGTCCCACCTCCCCGCGGTGAAGGTCACGCACCGCAGCCTAGCTAAACACCCCGCCTCACCTGGCGTGGTACCCGCCTCACCTGGCGTTGAACCCGCCTCACCTGGCGTTGTACTCGCCTCACCTGGCGTTGTACCCTCCTCACCCGGCAAAGGCCCCATTCCTCACCTGGCGAAGGACCATCTGTCGCTAAGGTCGTCCCAGGAACGCGACAAGATCTGGGTCAGCCACGGTGTCATCAGCAGCCGCTTCCTGCTCGAGGTGGACGCCAGCAGGTAGACCAGCAGGTCGTAGATGAGCAGCACCAGCGCCGTTAGCAGCAGGACCTTTCCCACCGTGGCCAGGTCGACGTTATGTAATACGCTGGTGAGCCCCGAGGCGAAGAATTGATTTAGAGTGCGTGGAGACCCTGGTGTGTGAGTAGTGTGGTTGGCTGGGAGGGGCGTCGTCTCGTCGCTGTTCGACATGGTCGCGGCTCTGGTCCTCGAGTGCCTCCACTCTTGCAGCACTGTGACAAATTTCCTCAATTCTTTCAGTGATTTCACGTTATTTCAGTCTTCTTTTTAAGGCTTTGAGATAGCAGAAATTGTCAATAAATACAGGTGAATGCTCTAGAACAATAGGAAGCCTTAATTACGCTGGAATCAGTAATTGCTTTAAGTAATGCGCACACACTTCGAGCTCTCAAAACAGTCCATAAATCCAGCTAGTTTAATCTGTAGCTCCCTCGGGGTAACTGCTAACCTGATCCATTAACATCTGGCTCATAATTTTCACGTCAGTGAGGTTTTTCCTTTGTGTGTATTAATCGCGTGAATTTTTGAGACGGCTTGGTTACTCTCCTCTCTCCCAGGCTGTGGGAAAGGGACTGAGAGGGAGAGTGACACGACCCGGCAAGAAATAAACTCGTACTGACACAGCGTCACGGCGAGTGAAAGTGAGAGTGTTTCTCAGGAACGGATATTTGCTCATTTATCTTTAACCGGATATATCTCCATCCGTACACGTCCATTATCCTGCTAAACCTCTTTTCTTTAGCTTTAAATTTTCCATTGTTTCGGTACCTGTCTTAATGGTCAGCTGGTGTTATAGTTCTCCTGTTAATGGATTGTAAATTAGGTTTTTGATTGATAATCTTGTTGATGCTTGAGAAATATTGTGCCAGTCGGGAGGTTAAGAGATCCGGGACAGGTCGTGAAGGTAGTGTAAGTGTTGACGGAGGTCATAAAGGTAGTGTAAGTAAGGTTAGAGGTCATAAAAGTAGTGTAAGTAAGGTTAGAGGTCATAAAAGTAGTGTAAGTAAGGTTAGAGGTCATCAAAGAAGCATAAGGTTAGAGATTACAAAATATTGCAAGGTTAGATGTCACAAAATTAATGTAAGTGAAGTTAGAGGTCAGAAAAGTAATGCAAGTAAGGTTAAAGGTCACAAAAAGACGTCTAAGTGAAGTTAAAGGTTTCAGAAGTAGCGTAAGTGAGGTTAGAGGTCATGAAAGTAGTGCCAGTGTAATCTGAGGTTGTGAAGGACTTTCCACTCTCCACGGCCTCAACAGATCATTGTTCCTCCAGTACCGTGCTCAATACTGCAATTGCCTCATCATGCCAGGCCGTGGAGGCGCTTAATTGTGCTTGCGTGTGTGTGAACTTTCCTAATTGTCTAACCTAGCTGTGCCTGGTGGGTTTGAACCAATCCTGGGCCCGTCTTAACCCTCATTTGACTGCGAACTTGAATACTAGCACCTTTACTCTTATTAACTTTTCTGTAAATATCCCAACTAATTTTTTGAACATTCAAGAGTCATCCGTGTACCTTCCTCTTAGGAATCTGGTATATATATATATATATATATATATATATATATATATATATATATATATATATATATATATACTAAGAGCTGTAGCTCCCTTCTTGGTGTACATTCAGTGAGAGTCTACTTTTGCCGTGGGCTGGACGGTTGGGTGACGGTCTCGCTTTTCCAGATCGGAGTTCGATCCCCGACCGTCCAATTGGTTGGGTACCAGTCCTTTCCTCTTTCATATTCCAAGTCGTTCTTCTCATATCCCTTCCAAGTGCTATATAGTCGTAATGACTGAGCGGATTCTCCTGATAAATACCTGATAGAGAGAACACCTTTTGCCCTGGACGACTTTGTTCAAGGCTAAAATGTATTTGGAGTTTGGGCAGTAAGGTATTGTTGTGGTAAACCCTCCTTGACCACCACAGTTGATAGTGAGGTCATAGTGTTAGAGGTTGATGGTTCTTAATCTCACCACCAAACCAAAACTCATCTTGATTTCCTTCCATGTCAAACACTCTTCCCTATTATCTCTGTCAATTTTTCCTACGTATGTTATACGTCGTGATCATATCCCCCTCTGATTATCGTTTCTTCCAATGACGTGAAATACAGTTTAACCAGTTTTGCTCCAAACTGCATACCCTTCAGATCCGGAACCAAACCTGGTGGCAAGTTTGGACATTCTCATGGGGCTTCATGTGAACACATCCTCCAGTTGACATAGAGGAAAGTGAAGACATACACTGTCAATAGCAAAAATATTTATTTGTTGACGCTTACCAGAAGCAATCAACAGTAGAATATATAAAATACATCATAATAAATATATAATACAATAAAATAATATATATTAGATTGAAATAAATATAAAACCTGAAACATCTATTCAACAAACATTGCAAGTGTGTATAAGTGTAAGATAGAACACTTGAACAAATACACGATAAAATCTCGTCTCATACAAGTTATTAAACTTCAGTTTTCCCATCGAAGTCTGACTCTCAAAGAATCATACAGTGTCATTAATAAACATTATTATGAAATACACAACGTAAAACAATAACATAATTACAAGAGATTTCTGACCAAATGACGTGGACTGTATGGGTGTATGTTGACGACCCAGTTGATGACTAAGGCAGTGTGTTGATGTATCCTGAGTGCGTGTGGTGTCAATGACCTGTAGTGTGAAAGAGGGAGAGGTGGAGGTGCAGGAAGTTGATTTAACTGGTGGAGGTTTAAAGCAAATATTTGGTGTAGTGAAGTGTCATGGCTGTGTCTTCAGAGATACAAAGTCCTCCTCCTCCTCCTTATTGAACTCCTCTCCTCCTCCTTCTCCTCCTTCTCCTTTTCTTCTCCTCCTCATTATTGAACACTGAAATCTGGAGCATTCATGTTTGACTGGAGTAACTTTGAGACGCTGAAGTGAGGTGATGGTGTTGAATTGCTGTGTCACTGGTGCTGTGGTGTTGAGAGTACACCATCACTGGTGCTGTGGTGGTGGGGTACACCATCACTGGTGCTGTGATGGTGAGAGTACACCATCACTACTGGTGTTATGGTGGTTGTGAGAGTACACTGATGTACTCCTCTGTGTGTACTTCTCCAGGGCGTTGGTCAGAAGGCGGAGCGCGAAGCTCACTGTGTCGGTATCACTATAAAAGTAAAAAAAATAACATTATAGTTTTAAAAATAGTAACATTACAATATAAATAATGACATTTTTATAACAATAAAATATTGTATTACTACTAATTATTCTGGTGTTAATAATAAATATTATTAGAAAATAATTATAGTTCAATAATAATTATAGATGCATTAATAATAAGTATTTGTATATATTATTATGGTATAGTATTACTACAAATAATAATAATAATAAAAATAATAATACTAATTGTTTATGTTTATGTATCAGACACGAATGATAGAACACACACACACACACACACACACACACACACACACACACACACACACACACACATTGAGGGCGTGTTTGTGTGTGTGTGGGTTAGTGTGTGCTTAAGTATGTCACGGGTCTGGTTGAGCGCGCGGGCGTGGACTTGTGTGTATGTAGTGTACAGTCACGCCTCACGCGCGTGCACAGTCACGCCTCACGCACGTGCGCTATGAGGGTGAACATTCAATCTTTGTAGCAACGACTTTAAATCTCAAAATTATGGCGACGAAAAGAGCATGTGTGTGTATTTACTATTTGTACCGGTACACACACACACACACACACACACACACACACACACACACACACACTGATAAGACAAATGGCCGGCATTCCGGAAGGGAAACTATGAGGAGATAAGGAAATTCTTAGGAGATATAACTTGGGAAACAGAGCTCAGAGGAAAACGGCCCCAAGACATGATGGACTACATCACACAGAAGTGGAAGGAGGCAGCAGACAAGTTCGTCCCAGTCCAAAAGAAAAAAAAATCAATGTAGTCAAGAAACCCATGGTTTAATCGGAGATGTAAGCTAGCAAAGCAACTAGCTTTGTCGTGTGCTAGGGCGTGATGTGGGCGTGGAGAAACTATAGAAATAACAGGACACTAGAGAGCAGAGGAAGATACCAGAGCGCCAGGAATGAATACGTCTTGGAGAGAAGAGAGGCAGAGCAATAATATGAAAATGACATAGCAAGCAAGGCAAAGACTAGACCTAAATTGCTGCACAGCCACATCAGGAGAAAAAAAAACAGTGTAGGAACAGGTAATGTAACTGAGGATAGGGGCAGACAGATTCACTACAAACGACAAGAAAGTGTGCGAAGAACTCAATAAGAAATTCCAGGAGGTCCTCACAGGTGAGCAAGGATAAGTCCCAGAGATAAGAGAGGGAATATCTAACCAGACACCACTAGAGGAGTTTGTGATTACCAGTGGGGAGGTGAGGAAGCATCTGCTAGATATGGATGTGACAAAGGCTATGTGTGTATCAACTGATCAATCTGTAAAGATGTGAGTGGTTGTCGGTCTTGAGATGGTTTCCATTTGTTGTTCTGTGACAGCTTTGAGCCTCTGCGACCCACATGCTGATTTTTTAACTGGTAATTCATTAATGATTATCTTTAGACTCGATTCTTCCCATGGAGGAGGCTGCCGAAAGTGTTGATATGGTCTATCTTCTCCTTTGTTTCTAATGGTTCGTTTAAAGCCCAATTTCTCTAGAATCTTGACCAGATTATCCGTCCATGTATTTGTTATATATTAAAGGTTTATATGAAGCGATCTGTGTATGCTATCTTTGATTGACAGTCTGGCGGTGGTTCCAACAAGTTTTGCCGTTATGGTGGCTATCCTTTGTTTGATTCTGTTTTCTAAGGCTGGTTTCAATTCTTAGATTCTCTCGACGCGTCCATGAAGGTGCTCTCAGCATTGTTTTGAGAGCATCATTTTGTGAAAACCGAGTTTCTCCCATTGGTTATCACTGAGGGATGTAAGAGCAGGAGCAGCATAGTCAATGAGTGACCTAACTGCTTGAACGTAGTACATGTTGAGTACTGGTAGAGATGCACCCTCTCTAAGACTTGTCAAGGAGAGCAAAACTGAGTTTCTGGCTTTGCAACGTTGTCGAAGATATTCAACTTCTTGAGTGAATTTCAACTGGCTGTTTATTATGACTCCAAGGTGTTGAAAAGAGATAACACACTCAATTTCTCGTCCTTGTATTGCGAGTCTGATGTCTTGAGTTCTCATTTTAACGACCATTGCTTTGGTTTTATTGCTGTTTATTTTCACTGCTCTGCGTTCTGCTTCCCTGTTGATGATATCTAGGCATTTTTGTGCATGATTCCTGGCGCCTTGGCCATTGATGATGACCACAAAGTCGTCTGCATAGTTAAGCAGTTTGGCTTTGGTAACCTGAGCTACATGAATTGTTCCATGACACAGTTGAAGAGGAAGGGGCTTAGTATTCCTCCCTGCGGGGTCTCGTTTTCCAGACTCTTTGAAGAGAATGTTTTTCCTTGGAATCTGACTTTTTGTCGTCCTCTATAGCTCTTGAACCAGATCAGGAACCCCGACATTCTTCCTCAGGAATTTATGTCACAGTGTTTTTTTGTGAAATTTCTTTATAGATATATGTTAAATTCTGGTCTGTGCCACTAGATAACTACTGTTTGTAATTACACGTGGTGATGAAGACTAATTATTAACCCTGGCTGCTTATATGTCTGCCAGAGACTCGTTTTCTGCTTCAGTAGAGCAAGACTTGTAATTATGTGGTAGCCTCGAGCTGATCCGCGCTCCTATATATTCATATAATAGTTTGTAGTCAGTAATTAGTAATGGTCGTGCATGCAACTACTGTTATATTAGGTTGATATATGCAAGACGATGAGCGCTGTGTTGCTCTGAAAGTTTCTCGACCGGTGAAGCAGCTTTGCTGAGCCCGTGTGGATAGTCTGATGTAGATAGTCTGATGTGGACAGTCTGGTGTGGACAGTCTGGTGTGGACAGTCTCGTATGGACAGTCTCATATGGACAGTCTCGTATGGACAGTCTCATATGGACAGTCTCGTATGGACAGTCTCGTGTGGACAGTCTCGTATGGGCAGTCTCGTGTGGACAGTCTCGTATGGACAGTCTCGTGTGGACAGTCTCGTATGGACAGTCTCGTATGGACAGTCTCGTATGGACAGTCTCGTATAGACAGTCTCGTATGGACAGTCTCGTATGGACAGTCTCGTATGGACAGTCTTGTATGGACAGTCTCGTATGGACAGTCTCGTATGGACAGTCTCGTATGGACAGTCTCGTATAGACAGTCTCGTATAGACAGTCTCGTATGGACAGTCTCGTGTGGACAGTCTCGTATGGACAGTCTTGTATGGACAGTCTCGTATGGACAGTCTCGTATGGACAGTCTTGTATGGACAGTCTTGTATGGACAGTCTCGTATGGACAGTCTCGTATGGACAGTCTCGTATGGACAGTCTCGTATAGACAGTCTCGTATAGACAGTCTCGTATGGACAGTCTCGTGTGGACAGTCTCGTGTGGACAGTCTCGTATGGACAGTCTTGTATGGACAGTCTCGTATGGACAGTCTCGTATGGACAGTCTCGTATAGACAGTCTCGTATAGACAGTCTCGTATGGACAGTCTCGTATGGACAGTCTCGTATGGACAGTCTCGTATGGACAGTCTCGTATGGACAGTCTCGTATGGACAGTCTCGTATGGACAGTCTTGTATGGACAGTCTCGTATGGACAGTCTCGTATGGACAGTCTCGTATAGACAGTCTCGTATAGACAGTCTCGTATGGACAGTCTCGTATGGACAGTCTCGTATGGACAGTCTCGTATGGACAGTCTCGTATGGACAGTCTCGTATGGACAGTCTTGTATGGACAGTCTCGTATGGACAGTCTCGTATGGACAGTTTCGTATAGACAGTCTCGTATAGACAGTCTCGTATAGACAGTCTCGTATAGACAGTCTCGTATAGACAGTCTCGTATAGACAGTCTCGTATAGACAGTCTCGTATAGACAGTCTCGTATAGACAGTCTCGTATAGACAGTCTCGTATAAACAGTCTCGTATAGACAGTCTCGTATAGACAGTCTCGTATGGACAGTCTCGTATAGACAGTCTCGTATGGACAGTCTCATCATCCACAATAACACTTGAGGTTAAACCACTAATTTCACGAAACTTTTCCAAAATTGAATAATCAGTTATCTTAGGCAGACATTTAACTATTCAAAATAACCAAGTTACAAGGTGTCGCGGATTCCAAAGACATGACAAAGATTTACTGTCAAATATCAACAAATGTGTATAGTGCAATTTGATTTATATAGAAGGAACTGAACGAAATACAAATGTAACCACGTGACCAAAGCTGTAAAAGTGTCATAATATAATGTGTCATAATATAATTAATGTTATATTAATGTAACCAGATTACAACTTTATTGCTTTCAAGAGGTCAAACTGGTGACTGTACTCTTGAATCATCCCAAACGGACGAGGCTGGCGACAGTTCTGTACAGATTGGGAATCATGAAGAAGCCTTTGAGCATGTGTGTGATGGTGTTGAAAGAAACATTATAGGATATTCGCCGGTTGAATAGGTGGCGATCAAGTTTTCGTCTGATGACCTGTATAAATAATTGAGATGTATATTTATTTGTACTCACCAATTTGTATTCACCTATTTGTGCTTCCGGGGTTGAGCTCTGGCTCTTTGGTCCCGCCTCTAAACTGTCAATGAACTGTGTGTGTGTGTGTGTGTGTGTGTGTGTGTGTGTGTGTGTGTGTGTGTGTGTGTGTGTGTGTGTGTGTGTGTGTGTGTGTGCCTCCAGTGTCCTAGCGGGGAATATTTGAGTAAATAGTCCAGACAAAAATTACTCAATAGTTAACAAACCAATCACATACAGCAAACAGACGAAACAACAGAAAAAATACGGAGCCAGATACACAAAAACAAACATATACATTGACAAGTAAAGATCAACAATGACGCGCAAAAGCACAGAGCCACAAACACACACAGACACACAGACAAAAACACTCAGATAAAGACACTCAGATAAAGACAGTGCCAAGTACTTACAAAGATCAAGTAACTAAAACATAAAAATACAAAGGTATGGGCATTCATTTTGCCCCTTAAACCCACATCAACTCCCTCCAGGTTACCTTGAGATGCTTCCAGGGCTTAGCGTCCCCGCGGCCCGGTCGTCGACCAGGCCTCCTGGTTGCTGGACTGGTCAATCAGGCAACCCTTGGCTTCCTCCAACCTACATCAACCCTAACACTCTGACCTGCACAGCCTCCAGGTACTAAGAGTAAAGTTGAGCCTATGTAGGACAGCGGACGCAGCTTCTATAACCTAAGGTTGAGAAAGTGTTGAGGAGTGTAGCTCTCTCTCTCTCTCTCTCTCTCTCTCTCTCTCTCTCTCTCTCTCTCTCTCTCTCTCTCTCTCTCTCTCTCTCTCTCTCATACTTCGCAATTTGATTATTATTCTCTTTGCTTATTTATTCTTTGCATGCATCTGTCTTTCTATGGGTTTGTGTCCATTTATCTCAATATATTATTATATATTCGCAGAGCAAAAGTAAGATCAGCAGAAAACTTTGATTCATAGAACCCGTCCTCCAGAGAAAATATTTTCCACAGTAGGAAGGTTCCTGTGAAGACGTGTTCCTGTGAAGACGTGTTCCTGTGAAGACATGTTCCTGAGAAGACGTGTTCCTGAGAAGACGTGTTCCTGAGAAGACGTGTTCCTGAGAAGACGTGTTCCTGAGAAGACGTGTTCCTGAGAAGACGTGTTCCTGAGAAGACGTGTTCCTGAGAAGACATGTTCCAGAGGAGGCATGCTCTAGATTAGTCGAATTCCAGAGCAGACGTGTTCTAAAGAAGGGCTGCACTGCTGTGTTCCAGCTCTGACAAGTTAGAGTGAAGGCGGGGTCCAGAGGAGATGGTCCATGTGGCCACAATGTTAACAGCTGACGCGAGGTAAATAAACATGGCCACAATGTTAACAGCTGACGCGAGGTAAACAAACACTAAACAGGTCCCGCTGGTCCCACTGTGTGCACACACACACGTGACTTGAGGGGCTGGGGGTGTGCCCACACACACACGTGACTTGAGGGGCTGGGGGTGTGCCCACACACACACGTGACTTGAGGGGCTGGGGGTGTGCCCAGGGGGTTTATGGGAGGGAGGGGAACATATAGTGGTAGTTGTGGTTGGTGGTGATTGTGGTGGCGGCAGTAGCGGTGATGGGGGGCGGTTATCTCAGTGACAGCGGTAGTACATATCCAAGGTGATTACGGTGTCAATGATCATTAACACGGTCCAATAATTACGAGATGCTAATGATGGTGTCAGTGAATGACAAAATGAATTAAATTAATAAGTAATTACCCCCCCCCCAAGGGTATTACAGTCTTCAAACGAAAGAGGCAATTGGTCTTGGAATCAATTTTCAGCAAATTACCTTATATAAGAATTTAGAAGACTCACCAAAACATAATTAAGGGGGCATATCAAAAAATATCGTTATAAATTAAAATTGTTCAATTTGCTTATAAATTTTTTTATGAAATGGTTATAGAAAGGGCTGCAACTGGTCCAAGTTTCACCATCACACCCTAAACAGAAAAGGAGAAAAAAATACACAACGTATTATGCAACGAATGTTCAACATTCTCAAATAATCTCAGGGAACACATGTGTCAACTAAAATGTCTACTATGTGCTGTAGAAGCACAAACTCTTGTAATAATTGTAATATGTATGTGCAATATATTTATATTTAAATTTTTTTTTTTTTTTTTTATTTTATTTTTTTTTTTTGGCCAATTTTTTTTTCTAGTTTGTTATCAAGGGATTTGCATGAAACTTGCACACCTTGCTCAATGGATGCCTATCTGCAAGGGTGCCAATTATGAACGAAATCTGTCGAAGTCAAGCTCAGCTACAGGTGGCCGAACTTGGATCTTTATTTTACTCTGGAAAGTAATTTACACCTTCAAATTACTTCAGAGCTTTCATTTATTAATCAATTTACATGCAAATTACACCTTATATGTAGCGTTTGTGCTTCCACAGACTCTAGTAGACATTTTAGTCCAAAGTCTATGTGTTGATTTTATAAAAATTTATAAATATCATATATTGCATATTTTTTTAGTAGGGTAACTTTGAAAAATTATATTATTGCACTAAACACTTTTTTGATAAAACTGATCACTAGAATCCTTTATTATGTGCTTAATTTAATATCTGAGTGTTATAGAAATGATTTTAGTTGACACATGTGTTCCCTGAAACTATTTGAAAATTCGTTGTTTATTTTTTTTCTCCTTTTCTGTTTAGGGTGTGATGATGAAACTTGGACCAGCTGCAGCCCTTTCTATAACCATTTCATAAAAAAAATTATAAGCAAATTGAACCACTTTTAAGTTTACATCGATATGCCCCCTTAAAAGCACTGACCTCTTTTTTTTATCGCCTTCCATGTTTTCACACAAAAAATACGTCCAGTTCTCAGAAAATTGCAGGCAATTGTGGTCGATAATTTTACTTCTCTGAAATTCTTTCCTGTTTTCGTGCATTCGCAACTTGCGAAGATTTTACAAATTTCAGGAAAATTTAAAGAACAGCTAATATATATTTTAAGCAAAGCTATTCCTCGCAAATATGCGGAAGATTCCCGCAAATGCAAATAACATGATTCAATAATTTTCGGCGTTAATTCGTGCCAATATGAGTCTCTAAGGTGTGTGTTTGTGTGTTTGTGTAATAGTGTTCACACACCAGTAATGGGGACCAGGATGTAAACATACTAACGTGTCTTGTCCGCGTGGAAACTAGTATGACATAGCTTAACATGATCCACACCTGCATCCACCTGGGTGTTAGTCCTGGGTGTTAGCCAGCTGTCACGGGCTGCTTCCTGGGGGTGGAGGCCTGGTCGATGACCGGGCCGCGGGGACACTAAAAATCCCCGAAATCATCTCAAGATGACCTCTGTTAAAAAACACACAACAGAAGCTCCATATTTACCTGTTATGACGGAGGTCTCCAGAGTGCTCTTTCCGCCAGTCTGGAAATATCCTGGACCAGAGTGGCCAGCCAAAATACTCGTCCATCCTGGCAATGCCGGTGAGGGAGAGTCCCCCGAGGCCAGCACTGAGCACCATGGCCCCGGCCACGATGGCTAGGAAGGCTGCTGTGCCCACAGAATCGGCCAAGTTGCTCATTCCGTTGGAGAAACTGTCCACAGATGACTTGGTTGAGAGAATAACGCTGTTAGCTGACGCAAACATGTCCATCTTGTCTCAGAAATGAGTGCCAACGGCGCCGTTAACTATCTGTGCAAATAATGGAAAGACAGATATACCAGGGGCGTGAAAATAAAGGAAATACGAAAATATTGAAATATATAATGGACTTTAGATCTATTTCCCTTTAGGCCTGATGACTGGAATATATTTGGATGCCTCTACCCATATATACATGGCGGAAGTATGTAGTGCTGACAGTCAAAATATAATAAATAATTTATATGTGTTACAAAGTGCTCAACATTGTAAGCTTCGAGGAATCAAGTCCTGGTTTATTTAAAACTAGATCAATGGATTTAATGTTGACCAAGTTAACATCACTGTTAACGTCACCCATACGCCAATAATACTTAATAAATCCTCCATGTAGAAAATCAACAAGAAAGATGAACCGATTTGTAAGAAAGTTAATACTCGGACTATAGAACATGCAAATATAATACTACTACTACTACTACTAATAATAATACATTTGTATTATTTCCTTTATCTTTTTCCTTTATATCTTTTTAAAGATATTGATCTTTACCTTCAAAGATCAATATCTTTATTATGATTATACTAATCGTGATATATATATTGAGTTAATTACTAGTTGCGTCGGTCGAGTATTAATATTTGCAAATAGCAGAGGTGTGACTATTGACTAGCAGAGGAGAGGTTGGTGGGACGCCTGATTATCCCGATCAAAAAGCCAATCAGTTCGTCGGTTAATCATCTGAAATCAATCTTGCAAGTGATAACTCAATCACTTAAACAATCAATTACTCGGTTACTTGATATATCACAGATTCAATCTCCTAATTAATCATTCAAATAATTAGACACTCAGTACCTCGTCCAATCATTTAAGTTATTCCTCACTCAAATAAGCAATTACGTCTCAGAGAGACAAATTATACATTATTTCACCCCCAACACAAACGCATAAGTATAATAAGTAAAGTTTCGATTCTCAGCCGAGACAGAAACAAATGTTTCTTTCACATGATGCATTTGTTTACCTAGTATTAAATAGGATCTAGTAGTTATCCAAGTTCTGCAGGCGGTATCCTGGGGATAAGTGTGTGTGTGTGGTGTGTGTGTGTGTGTGTGTGTGTGTGTGTGTGTGTGTGTTGTGTGTGTGTGTGTTTGTGTGTGTGTGTGTGCAGGATATGGAAGAAAAAATTTATTGAGGAGTCAGTATATTAGACGACAGACGTATAGAAAGGCGGGGTCCAACAGCTAACATCTCGATTCTACAGGCAGAACATAACATAATAAACACACACACA